GCAATGATCCCCAAAGTCTGCTGCTTCTAATGCAGGGTCACAAAAAGCCGTATCTTTTTTGGTTTGGCGTTGATCTATTTGTCATCATGTTGCAATTGCAGTTTTTTACTAAAAATATTTGCTTTCGTTTCACCTACAGCAGTTTACAAATTGTGTGCCCGTTAGTGCACCATACCACAGCATTTCCTAATCATTTCTGAGCCGCACTGTGAAAGAATTAACCCGCGCCCTGCTGGGGGGGGGGTGTTTGAACACCCCCCCTTGTGGTTTTTCGCGAATATCTCAAAAACGGCGGCGCGGAGCGCCGCCGTTTTTGGTACACCTTATCATACATCAATTCTACACATGTTGTGAAAATTTCAGACCAAGGTCATTCAAGGTCAGGTCACCAGGTCACTTGAAGTGACCTCACCTCATAAAAACTTTCAATGTCTGTCATAGCTACACCGAGTGACCGATCGCTTTGAAACTTTCAGCGATTGCTAAGAGCAATAGCATGTACAAAATGTATATCTCAGAATTTTGATATCGATGACCTAAGGTCAGGTCAATTTTGCGACCTCCCCATTATAAGTCAATGGGAGAAAATTGAAATGCGTCTCTTTTGGATAAAAGACATTATAAACACTTCCAAACACCGAATTACAAGTGGTTTAGACACACTGAACTTGGAAATGGTGTCCGTGACCCTTGTTTATGCCCTGAGGTCATCTTAGGTCACGAATGGTATCTAACAGTTTTTCGCAAATAACTTTTGATAGAGGCATGCTAGAGCGATGAAAACGCCTTAGATGTGTTCAGCTCGACGATACGGATCGACTGATATGCAACATGACCCTTTCCGGTCAGGTCATGACCTTGACCTGAGGTCAAATTTTCAAGTTGACCTTTCAAGGTCAAGTCATAGTTCATTCGATGCGTCTTGACGAGAGGAACACGATGCCGGTAACAGTAAGCTCGTACAAGGCTTGGGTCAAAAGTTATTGCAGAAAAACTGTTTTCGAAAAAATCGGCTATTTTTGCAGTTTTTGCCCCCTGCAGGCAAAACCGTTGACGTTAGGTCAAATCTGAGAGAATTACTCAGAAAGGGCGTTAATAGGGCTATCGAATGCGCTTTTCCGCAGCGCTGTAGCTCTATTGGTTCCCGAGTTATGCGTTGGCTTCTTGGAAAATTTCGACATTCGACCTGGAAATCGGCGAAATTTTGCCTTCAATGACCTCTGGTGACCTGACCTTTGACCTGACCAAAAATTGACCGAAGTGATTTCGTCATTATTTTTTACGCTCTTTCGAACGCCGCCTTCCGCGTATCGCTACGTGGCCCAGGAGCCGAGTTACAAGGGGGGGTGTTCAAACACCCCCCCCCCCAGCAGGGCGTGGAAATCCAGGACCCCCAGCAGGGCGCGGGTTAAGGCGCTAGCACAGGGCTGACCTGCGCTACTAAAGTTTTCGTCTGTTGCGGTCGGGTGCCGCGGTGGGCGGGCGGCCGAGCCGCGGGCGGGCGGCCACAGCGGGGGTTTGCCGGTGCATCCCTCTCCTTTTCCTAAATGAAGTGTCCTAGCGCCTCGCAACAAAAGCAAACGGATTGCCCTTGACAAGATCTCGCAAGTGAGCACATTACTTTTGACTTAAGGTCAATATTTGACCTACTTATAGCAGATCAAAGTCAAACGTCTGTCGAAATTGCAATCCGCGGTGAAAGCAATCCGCCCCGACCGCGGCACCCGACTGCGCTGGACAAAAACTTCAATAGCGCTAGTCTGCCCTGTGCTAGCGCCTTAATTCTTTCACGGTGTGGCTCAGAAATGATTAGGGAATGCTATGGTATGGTGCACTAACGGGCACACACTGTGTTAGCTGCTGTAGGTGAAACGAAAGCAAATATTTTTCACTAAAAAAATTGTTATTGAAACATGATGACAGATGATTAGATCACCGCCAAACTAAAGGAGATATGGCTTTTTGTGACCCAGCATGAGAAGCAGCAGGCTTTAGGGATCATTGCCATGCATAATTTTTGTAGTTTCTATTAAATGAGCGCACGCTAGCGGCGTTTGAACTTGCAAGTATCCGACAGTCATTTTACGACATAGAAAATGTCACGACTTCTGACAATCATACACGAGGCCGGTTTTGACAAAAACATGAAAGCTATGTGATTTCAGATGCACCAAACATTTCTTTGGTTAGCCATATCGCGATTTACTCGGTTTGGTAAACTTGACTTTTTGGTATTTATGGCCACTCGTGAACCCCATTTGCATCACTGTGCGGTGGACCTCACGCGGAGGGACATTCAGGGGTGACGGCTCGGTCATCAGATCACCTGCGGACGCCCTTCAGTCTGCCGTAGAGACAGACAGCGGCCCGAAGGGTGGCCCAGTTAGCCTCCACCCGTCTGGTGGGCCTGAAATCAGCACATCGTGGCTTACCTAACAACTTCAAACGTTAACTCACACACTGGCAGATCCAAGGAGGAGGGTATTTGGGGCAAATGTCTCCTTACTGCCCCACTGCCCGAAATTGATGAAGCACAACAGTGCATAAGGAGTCGAAATCCGAGAAGTTTTGAAGTTTGAAGAAACTTTTTGGGGTATGCCTCCACCGCCGTGTCCAAGATCGCCTTTCTGGATCCGCCTATGAACTAACACCTCAGGACCGGCTTTGCCTGGCGAGCGCTTTGTCTTTAACTTGCTTTTAGGGTCCTTATTTTCTCCTTTTAATGCCGTATTACCATGTAAACTGACTGCTCATAATGGCTCGTTGATGAAAGCATGACAGCTGTGCAAGAATTGTTGCATCTTAATTAGGCACTTAAAGTATCGTTCTCCATAAATACGCAGCTTTATTGCATGCCTACCATCGTTTAAACTTTAAAGCATGCGCGTCGGAAAGAAAGAAAGAAAGCGAAGTCAGTAAAAACTAAGTCCAAATTGCAACAAGGATGAACGATACAAAATAAAACGATATGAATTATGATACGATACAATATAAAATTATGTCTATAAGGCAAAACGATACGAAACGATACAAAATGTAACAAGGTATTTGAAATGTGTTGGATGTTTTGTATAAGCATTGCAAATCAAGATATAGAATTAAATCTGACAGCCGAAAATTTACCCACCTAAAAATTGAAGCATTGAATGAAGCTACGCAAGAAAAAAAAAACACAACACAAAAATATGCCAATATTTTCGAAATTCGTGCTACTGGCCCATCATTTCTGTCATTGTTGATTTTTTTTTTTCTACAAATGATCTCGAAGTTGGCTGGAATGGGAGTGTGTCTTGTTGTGAGTTCGCCTGGGCCTACCAATTCCAGCCGGGACGACCATTTTAGTCGGCCCACCCATTCCATCACACCCATCCATCTAAACCATGATTCGGACTGTGTTTTGTCACCAGAAACCGGAGAACCAGCGAGCAATAATGGCCCCTGGCGCCAGATGTAGGTCGGAGTCAGTGAGCGGTCAGTACTGGAACAATCGCAGCGCGAGAGATGGTGACTGACACCGTTCTACTTGCTCGTCGTACCATGACCATGGATACGTGTACAGACGATACCATACGTGCATCGTTGCCATAGGAGAGACATCATGATTAGAATATTTGCACAGGTAACTACTGCAAACGTAGGCAATGCGCTTATGAATGTGTTTATGAACAATACTTATCAATACATAACATGTACTAGTTAATATTAGGCACTTCAAATGGCTTGGACAATGGACAATATGTGTGCTGTAGCCTACTGTAGCTTTTAGTGCAACGAAAAATACATACCTGTAACTGCTGTGACAGCTTAGGTGTTAGCTGGGACGCAACAACACACACGTAAGTGTATAATTCGGTAGCCAACTTACCAGTAAGAGGGTGACTAGTTATTCTAATGACGGGATGAAATATGCGTAACACTACTATACATATTGTCGGGTCTAATGGCAAGGGTAACTGAATGCGAATAGCGATCGCACTATGTATTGAGCTGCCTCGTTATCTGTTTATACCCCCAGCGGCCGAAGCAGTAGCTATAAAAGGTGATTTCCGGGCTTAGAGGCAACAACGTCGCTATCATATAGACAATTCTAAGATGAGGTTACTCTAGAGGGGTTCTGTTTAAGGGTTACGCTGTGCGGTGTTGTTTAGAGGGGGCCGGCGCGAGTCTGGCGGTACGGCCACAGGCGAAAGGCCACATGCAGACGTGTCTCACATGATCTGTGAGTCGGAGTGTCTCCGAGAGCAGTCTTGTTTGGGAAGTGTCAGCATGTTCTTCAGGGAATTACACCGACGAACGAAAGCCAGGCTGAAATGTTGCAAAATATTGCCACGTGGTCAATTGCAATTAACTGATAGGTTTTATCATTAAAGGTAGACATCAGGGGCTGACTGTGGCCTTCCATGACCTGAGAATGGCCTTGCCCTTGAGTCCTTGACCTTACCTAAGTGCCGAATTTTGTTTTGAAAGCTTACATGTATACTACTTTGAGAGGTATGTAAGCATGGCGCACAAATTTAGGTGGAAATCTGACTCGTCGAAATGCATATTTCACATATGCTTTACTGGACACATGCTCAGACATTTACCCGAGTCTTCTTTGTCTTTTTGATATGTTCACTAATCTTAATATTTTTGTTAGAAATTTTGACCAAGAATTATTGTGACCAGCTAGCGTGGTTTTGGTGCAAAGGGTTTGTAGTAAATAGCTGGTGCTACAATAGCTAGTAGCGGGGACTGAAGCGGGGTTATGATCTACCCACCCCTGTAGCGTGGCATGCGCTCGTCTTGCGCGCCGATACAGGGGTGGTTTCCCTCAAATAGAGCGTTTTGTATTTGATGTATGATGTTATTTGCAGTAGTAAGGCCAGGAGTTGCGAACGACTGACTGGGACTGTCAGGCATGTAAGTACCATTGACTGGTGGCACTGACCGTAAGCACCGACCGTTTGGTTGCCCTGACCGATTGCTAATGACGAACCGGTTATGGTACGGGCACTGACCGTGTGGGACTGGAGTGTGCCGAGGAGAGCGGAGAGCGGTCCCCATTGTCACTGTCAGTGGCCGGCTTCAGCAGCTCGGCATCGGCGCCTGCCCTGCGGACGGGTGTCAGCGGCTCCGGGGGCGGGCAGACGGGCAGCGGCGGCTGCGACACGGAAAAGTCCTCCACCTGCCGGTCATGGAGCGGACCGTCACTGAGAGCGACATAGCCAGGGGACGGTCACGGGCGGTATAGCATAACCGACTGACCAATGGCACGGAAACTGATACCTAATAACACGGTGGAGGGACGGTCTTAGGATAGAAGAACAGTGGAAAACAATGCAGTTTGCCGTAGAGGAACGGTCTTATCGCTTTTTACATGGATGTCAGTTTGCAGGGATTTGGCTAGTTTCATATTCGTAAGAAACAATTAAGGAGAATGCATAGGCTTGTTTAATTTATAAACTGCTATACAACTCGTCCTACGCAACTTCAATTTCAGACACTCAGTAAACAGCACAGAGGGTACGGTTAAGTAAACATCACAACTTTTTCTTTTAAGTTTTCAAACCTGTTCGTCTGGCGAATATTTGTTTAAGTGTTATGCTTCTGTGGACTTGTAATAGGTACATCTGGGTGTTTGCAAGTGCCTTTGAAACGTTTATCCAAAGTCCGACAAAAGTTCAAGAGTCTAAACGTTTGGTGGAGTACCTGTTACAGCCATAAGCACCTCAGTGCCAGTTTTATCTATGACGGTAAGCATCTTTCTATTAAAGTTAGTACAGCGTTGCTTTTAAACATACCTACCAGTATAACGCCTTTTGGGGCGACTAACGGAGCGAGCGAGAGGGTGGGCCTTGCACGTGCGAAATTGCGAGGGGGTACCTCCAACTGACTTGTGCACGGCACCCTACTAACTGGTCTCTAGCGATGTGCCAAATTTGGGTACAATCGGCCCAGCCGTTCTCGAGATCTGGAAGCGGCACCCTGCACGTGCGCACGTGCAAAATGGGTCCCAACTGACTTGTGCACGGCACCCTACTAACCGGTCCCTAACCGTGTACCAAATTTGAGCGCAATCGGTCCAGCCGTTCTCGAGATCTGGAATCGACCCCTGCACGTGCGCACGTGCAGCAGCACCCCAACTCCGACACATGGATATGCATTGCCTAGTGGGTGTCTACCTGCATGCCAACTTTCAGCGCAATCGGCCAAGTAGTTACCGAGATATTGCAACAATTACAAAAGTGACACCTCTTCGTTTTGCACGTGGCACGTGCATAAGGGGTCACCCACATGCATCGGGAATAGTCCAATACTTGGTAGAAGGAATGAAGCTACCCTACAAAAATTACCGCGTGTAAATCGGTCAAGTGGTTGCTGAGATATAAGCCTCGCAAAAGCGTGACCACGGCCGGCCGCTCATACTCAGAAATTTCCGTTAATCTAAGGAAAGACTACGCTCGCTTCGCTCGCTCCGTAATAATAAAAATGAGGCATAGTGAAGGCATCTATTTCCATTCCAATTGAGGGTAACTATATGTTCAAATAAATGACAATATCATGCAAGGAAAAGGAGACGAGCTGGCAACGAAAACATTGCTCCATGGCGGCGCCTGCCACTTCATGTAGCGGCACGAGCGCATCCGGCTCCTGAGCCGACCGGTAATTGGCGAGAGCGCGACTTGAGGCGCCCCCGCTCTCCCCGTTCGACCCTGCAGATTATGATGGCTGCGGCAATGACGACATTCGTGTTAGCGGAGAAATGAAGTCGATTGGTGTGGGGTGAGGATGCCGTATTCGACCAAGCGGAAATGTCAGTGGTTGAACTCGGTCTCTACCTCGACCTCAACTTTACTCAACCGTCTACAGAGAAATTGTCAACCGCGTTTCAGGTCATGATTTGGGTATCAGGCTCGCTTGAAGGTTTCGACATCAGAAATTCGCCCACTAAACTACTTGGATTGAAATGAGCGTCTCGCAGAATACATTACTACACCTAATTTTGAACTACTGATCGACTGGCGCCCGAAATAGCTGATTCGGGTGCTGTTCGGTTGTGGCCAGGACGGCCTCTTCGGGGCTGTTTCGGGATTTTAACTGTAGATGAGCAGTGGCGTAGGCCGGGAAGGCCGTGGTGTCTGCGACTGCAACATCCCCGGTGAGAGAGACCGCAGAAACACCTACTGTGTTTGTGACTGTAGTAACACCCGCTGTGGTTGTGACTGTAGTAACACCCGCTGTGTTTGTGACTGTAGAACATGTTTTTCATATAACACCCGCTATTCTCTGAACGTCTGAGATCGCGGTAAACTATAGCTCTCCCTGTGACCGCAGTAAATTCGTTGTGCCCGTAACTGCAGTAGCAGCTGCTGTGCCTATGACTGCAGTTACAATCATTGTGTCTATGACTGCAGTAACACCCGCTACTAACGGCGTGTGTGTGGTGTTGACGGCTGCCGCCACCAGCCCGGCTGGTGGCCGGCAGGGCCGTTCGACGCACCTGACTGCCGCTGATGATGCTCAGCGTCGAACGTTTGTCCAACTCGAGCTGAGCGCGCCGGTCACGGGGGCGGCACGGCGGACGGAACAGCGACGGAAACCGGTACATGGAGCCGCCACGGGCCACGACTGCCCGACGGCCCAGAGGTCGCCGGGGCGGCCGCGGGCGACGGGCGCGCGCAGCCGACTGCCGCGACCGACGAGCGGGCCGCCTCCGCCAACCGCCCCACCGCGACGGCCAGATATGCCGGGCACGCGTGCTCCATTCGATGAAACATCAACAGATCAAATCGGTAATCACCCATTGGAGTAATCGTTTAACATGTCGAATCGCGTTACTGTAGATTAGATATTAGGGTGGGCATCCCGGCGTATACGCATTCGGTGTCCCGAAAGAATGATGCATCTTTTTTTCTCTCCTCTCTCTCTCTCTCTCTCTCTCTCTCTCTCTCTCTCTCTCTCCAACTGAGATATATAAAACATGTTCTGTAGGTATAAAAGCCTTCTTCTGGTAAGCATGGAACTTAGTCGTCCGTCACTGTTTTTTTCTTCGCTTTACCTGAAAACTGTATGGATGTAATGGATAGATTGACTGGAAATAGTGATATCCGAGTTCACCGTTTCAGACCAAATAGGGTCTGCGATGAAAGGCTGTCACACGTCACATACGCACACGTCACATCGTACGTATACGCTGTCAAGTATTGCAGATGACGATGTGTTTGTAAAGAAAGCAGAATTGTTATCTCTATAAACCAGGGCTGCGACGTCAATAACTTTTTTGGTGACCCCAGCTCCGACTGCGACTCTGGCCTCAAAAATTGACTCCAACTCCAGCTCAGACTCTGGGTATTTCTCTTTAAGTTCATATCATGAAAGTAAAATTCATGTCGGAGCTCTTTTTATCTCGTTTGAAGCAAGCCTTTAGGTACCTACGCATTGCAAGGTCTAGCACCTCAAATATATAGGCCCGCATGCCTCGTAAGTTGTAAAGCTAAAAGAAAATTCTGACGCAGCCGCCATCTGCTTTTTTCACTGAAAACACTGGTCTAAAACAGAAGTATGAGCTTAGCCTCGATAAAATGTGTTTTGGAAAGGTCAACCATCGTAATATCTTTAAGCAAACAGATTTAAGGAGTGACCAAGGCCATCCATAGAAGGTACCGTCACTCCCCCGCCGACCAATCAGAGACAGATCCTGAGTGACGTCACCCCTGATGCTCGCAAGGGGTACTCCATTCCTTTACAACGTAAAAATGACTAACTTCATTTGAAGATTGTTGGTGACAGTCTATATGTCGTAGGCATCGGGTGAAATCCGGCATTTCATGAAATGTCTAGGCCTTACATGGAATGCCGGCAAAAACTGAAATCTTCGTAGAAATACGGGCGTTACAGCGAATGTCTGAAAATTTTAGGCTTTTCATGAAGTGCCAGGGGGAGGCCAGGCACTCCCTGAAATATGGTCAAAACCAATTGAGTTCACTCGTTGCCTAGGCATTACATGAAATGCCCGACTGACGGCCGACACTTTCTGAAACGATTACCGCAGCGAGAACGGACCCCGGGCCCCGGACCCCCGGTTGGATGGGGCCCGGACCTCCGGGAGAACGGGCCCGGGCCTCCCGGAGAACGGGCCCAGGCCCCCGGGAGAACTGGCCCGGGCCCACGTGGATGGGTCCGGGCCCCAAAAGAACGTGCCCGGGCCTCCCGGAGAACGGGCCCAGGCCCCCGGGAGAACTGGCCCGGGCCCCCTGGGTGGATGGGGCCCGACCCCCGTAGATGGGTGCGGGCCCCCGGGAGAGCGGGCCCCGGGCCCCGGGTGGACGGGGCCCGGACCCCCTGGTGGATGGGGCCCGCGCCCCCGGGAGAAGGGGGCCCGGGCTCCCGGATGGATGAGGCCCGGGCCCCCTGGTGGATGGGCCCCGGAGCCCCGAGTGGACGGGGCCCGGGTCCCCGTGTGGATAGGGCCCGGGCCCCCGGTTGAATGGGGCCCGCTAGGGTGACCCGCTTGCTCCGCAACGCGAATAAGGGGTATTTTCGATCGGTGGGCGTTTGGCTGGTCTCGTGTCCGTGGATTATGTATCACGATCCGTGAAATATCTCGTAGTGTTAGCTCATTTTACACCAATACGATAACGTCCCTCCCCCTCCCGATCGCCGGCGTGTATATGCACACAACCGTCCGCGTACGAAAAGTTTTGTTACAGAGAGTGCCGGTCGTCTTTTGGGCAATCCATGTAATGCCTAGGCAAGGCGTGTACTCAGTTAATTTTGACCATATTTCAGGGAGTGCCTGGCCTCCGCCTGGCATTTCATGAAATGCCTAAAATTTTCAGGCATTCGCTGTAACGCGCCTATTTCTACGAAGATTTCAGTTTTTGCCGGCATTCCATGTAATGCCTAGGCATTTCAAGAAATGCCGGATTTCACCCGATGCCTACGACATATACATATCGCTCAGCCGTTGATGTCATTGGAAAGTCCAACTAATCTTCTAGCGATAAAAAAGAGCAGCAATGTGCTAAGAAATGACCGGTTTTGAATATATAGACGATTTAATAATCCTCTGCAGTTGCAGGAAAGCAACGTAAAAACGCATCAAGCTGATATTTTTACTATGAATAAATCATTTTTCAGTAAGTTTTTAATATGCTATCGATTTATTCAACAACTTTATTACAA